AACAAATCTTTTTAATTATTTAATTTAATTTTTAATTTATTTATATTTGGAAACAAAACCGATTATCATATTCCAGGGTATTATTTTGAATATAGATATCATTATAGCTTTCTAGAGTTATACTTTTAATGTATAAGCATAAATAAAAGAATTAAAACATTTATATAGATATGGAATTAGTACTACCCATGTATAATGCACATCCTCACTTTTCCCTCAAAAATTTGGGCAAGGAAATATGCATTATACACAGCAAAATACAGTAATCAGACATGAAAGAGAAAATATAGATATTACAACTTACAGCACAGAAATACACAGGGTCATAAGAGACTACTATGAACAATTATATGCCAACAAATTGGATAAGATGGAAGTAGTGGGTAGATTCCAGGAATCAGGAAGAAACAGAAAATGTGAACAGACTAATATAAGCAGAATAAATAAGTAATCAAAAACTTCCCAACACAGAAAAGGTCAAGACCAGATGGTTTCACTGGTGAATTCTACCTTATATTTATAGATTTAATGCCAACCCTTCACAAAATCTTCTAAACAATTGAAGAGAATGGAGCACTCCCAAATTCATTTTGCAAGCCCAACATTACCCTAATACAAAAATCATAATAAGGCACAACAAAAACACGATGGACCAATATCCCTAACATACATGAATTCAAAAATTCTCAACAAAGTATTAGCAAACTGAATTCAACAATACACTAAAATTGTGTACCATGATCAAATGGGATTTATCCCTGGGTTGTCAGGATGGTTCAACATAAGCAAATCAGTAAATGTGGTATCACAGTAATAAAATGAAATATAAGACATATGATTATCTCAATAAATGCAAGAAATGATTAGACAAAGTTCAACATCCTTTCATGATAAAAACCTTCAATAAAATGCATATTTAAGAAACAAACCAGCCCTGGCTAGCGTAGCTCAGTGGATTGAGCGCGGGCTGGGAACCAAAGTGTTGCAGGTTCGATTCCCAGTCAGGGTACATGCCTGGGTTGCAGGCCATGACCCCCAGCAACTGCACATTGATGTTTCTCTCTCTCTCTCTTTCTCTTTCCCTTCCCTCTCTAAACAATAAATAAAATTAAAAAATCTAAAAAAAATAAAATAAACAAACCTTAATATAATAAAGGTCATATACAAGACACCCACAGACAACATCATACTAAACAATAAAAGGTTGATAACTTTTCCTCTAAGCTCAGGAACAAGACAAGGGTGCCCGTTCACAGCACTCACACAGCACAGCACTCACGCAGCACAGCACTGTAAGTCCCAGCTAGAGCACTTAGGCAGGATGAAGAAATAAAAGGCATCTAGATCAGGAAGGAAGAAGTAAAACTGTCTATTTACAGATGTTATAATCGTACATATAAAAAATGCTAAAGATTCAACGAAAAATCTGTTGGAACTTAATCAACTAATTCAGTAAAGTTGCAGGATATGAAATCAACATAAATAAATCAGTTGTTTCTATGCACTAACAACAAAATATCTGAAGAAATAAAGAAGACGATCCTGTTCACAATACCATCAAAAACAATAATTTACTTAGAAATAAATTTAACCAAAAGTGAAAAATATGTATAATGAGAACTACAAGACATTGATGAAAGACAATGAAGAAAACCCAAATGGAAAAATATTCCCATTCTCATGCATCAGAAGAATTAATTCTGTTAAAATGTCCATACTGCCAAAAGTCATGTGGAGGAGAGACTATTCCATGATGCGACCACTGTCTGATCTGTGCAAGACCAACACCTGCCAGCTAGATTCTGGCCAGACCAGGGACTGCTTCCCTGAAAGCCCCTCAGAGACTGTCTGAGCCACCCCTCCCTCATGCCCCACAGCAAGGTTTGTGCTGGTTCCTGGAACAGGCTATTACCCTTCCCTGGGAGCACCAAAGGCATCTCCCCTTCTGTGAGGCAGGCCATGCCCAGTACCCTTATCCATCCCAACCTGTTCTATGAAACACCTTTGCACCTACCATGAAGCACAGAGGAGGATATCTGTGTCATCTTGCTGCTGCCCAAGACACACCTCATAAATTCCCTTACTACACTCTTCATGTAATGATGGAGTTGTCACACCCTTTCTACGGTCTCTTGGCCCAGTGGAATGTTACATAACACCATACACAGATTCGGTACAATCCCTATCAAAATTCCAATGACATTTTTCACAGAAAAAGAAAAAAATCCTCAATCTGTACTGAACCACACAACACTCTAAATAGCCTAAACAATCCTGAGAAAGAAGAATAAAGGTGGAGGCACCACTTTACTGGGTTTAAACTATACTACAGAGCTATAGTAACCAAAACAGTAAGAACACAAAAATAGGCACAAAGACAAATAGAACAGAATAGATAAACTAGAAATGAACTTCCACATATACAGTCAACAGATATTTGACAAGAGTCCAGAATACTCTATGGATCAATAAATGATACTGGAAAACTAAGATAACTACATGCAGGAAAATGAAATTGAGTCCCTATCTCATATCATCTCCAAAAAATAAGCTAGAAATGGATTAAAGTCTTAAACATAAGACCTGAAACTGTAAGACCTCTAGAGAAAATAGGGGAAAAGCCCCACATCACTGGTCTTATCAATGATTTTTTTAATATGACACCAAAAGCACAAGCAACAAAAGGAAAAAATCAATAATTGGGACTCCATTAAACTAAACATCTTCTGCACAGCAAGAGAGTCAACAAAATGAATGGGATGGGAGAAAATATTTGCAAACCACATATTTGATAAGGGGTAAATATCTGAATACACACTCACACATACACACGTATCCTCATAAGCTCAATAACAAAAAATTATCTAATTAAAATACAGGTAGAGAAAATGAATATTTGTCCAAAAAATAAGACATACAAAAGGCCAACAAGTGCATGAAAGAATGTTCCACATAAGCTACTGTATGATCCAGCAATCCCACTTCCAAATATATTTCAAAAGGACATAAAAACAGGATCTTGAAGAAATATCTGCACTCCTAAGTTCACTGCAGAATAGTCACAGTATCCAAGATATGGAAACAACCTAGGAATCTGTCATTGGATGCATGCATGAACAAGATGTGGAACAGGCACACACACACACACATGCACACACAATGGGATGGAATATTACGCGGCCATGAGAAAAGACATCCTGTTGTTTAAGACGACACGAATGGGCCTTTACGGCATTACGCTAAGTGAAGTCAGACAGATAAAGAATAGGGTGTGATATCACTTACATGTGCAGCCTAAAAAAAACAAACTTAGAAACAGAGAGGAGAGTGGTGGTTACCAGGGGCACAGGTGTGGGGGATTTGGGGAGGTATTGGTCAAAGTGTACAAACTTGCTGGAAAAAAATTTTTTAAGTATTAGTAAAAATGATAAATCAGTGTAAAGAGGAAGAATTCCTTATTTTTCACTTTAGTTCTTTAGTAAGGCCTGAATTTCTCTAGCATGTTGTAGTTATTATATTAAATATTTTAATGTAACACCAAAAATAATATACTATGCAGAAGTATATAATACGCTTGTCCTATATTTTAGTAGATTTTTATCACATGGTCTTACTAATGTAAGGTCTTACAAGCCATAAGCACTTATGGAATGAATCAAAATATCATTTCTAAGTATGACTTTCCATGTGAAAGAGAATGCTTATGCCATTAGAAGATAAAAGTGTTCCTGATGACAATCACCATCATCACACGTATATCCTTAACTCTATTATTTCCTTTACTGTTCTGAATGCTTTCTTTGCTCCCTGAACTGGTAACCTCTGTGCAGATAAACAAACATTACCCAAATCAGAACAAGCACGAAGTACTGGCAGCAACAGTCACCCACCACCACTGCTTATTTGGCAGAGACTCAGACTGAAGGCAGGTACAGGAGCAAGGAAGCGTCATGGTGGCAAAAGGAGCAGGTCTGCCCTGGTAGGAAGATTGCCAGCATGGGGGGAAGCTGGAAGCAGTCTAACTAGAAAAGTGGGTCTACCACAAATACCATAAATCCATAAATTAATAGTGATAATGAAGGAACAATAAAATATTAATCTGAATACCACACACACACACAAAAGATTACCAGCCCTGGCCTGGTGGCTCAGTTGGTTGGAGCATCATCCTGTACACCAAAAGGTTATGGGATCAATCCCCAGATGGGAGACAATTGATAAACGTTCCTCTCTCACATCGATGTTTTTCCCTCCCCACGCCCACTCTACTTTTGGTATACTGGACAATACTCCAACCAACTGAGCCACAACAGCCAGGGCCTGACCAGTCATTTTTAATGCAAAATTTTCTTTAATCATGGTAGAAGATTTTAACTATCTGCTCGATTGCAAAGCAAAGGCACTCAGATCAGACACAAGGAGATTCTTAAATGGGATCTAATTCCTTCCATTCTACTTTTAAAGAAGACTAAAAAAAGTCTGAAGTTATACTATGAAAAAATAAATAAGAAGGGTTTTCAGGAACAACTGTAAAAAACACATGGACAAAACCAAGATGGGGTGGGATCATGGGAGGGAGGAGGGGATGGCTGGGGTGGGGAGAGTGGTGGGGAGCGGGGGGAAATGCAGACAACTGTACTTGAACAACAATAAAAAAATAACAAATAAATAAATACATAAGAAATTATCTGGTAGTTGTTTCTTTTAGACAGAGGTAATTTTAAGCAGAAAAGCAGGCAGGCGAGCAGACACGGCCACGCCTAAGTTAGGTTATATGGCAGAGGGGTTCATTGAGCTGTCTCCACCACTAAATAGGTGTGTCCCTCAACTAGTCATGTAACACTTGAGGACATCCTCTTTCTACCTCTGCACCAAGGGTGTATAAAGCACATAAGCTCTAAACAACTTTCAGAGTAAAATAATGGTACCCTATGTGGCCCATGGATCTGAAGATCTGAGCGTTAAGTATAAATTAGTGGCAGCAAAAATAAATATCATACCTTTGTATTATCCTTCATCCTTGTCTTATACTTGGTTTGTTCCCTGACTTCACGAAGAAAACCTTTCTGAGTAGGGTCTTCTGGTTCACAGTCCTTTTCAGAGTCAGAAACCACTACAAGATAATACATTTATTATTATTATGGGAGCCAAAGTCATGATACATTTATTTTTAACTAATAATATTAAAGCCATACCAAAATGTTATCAGTGAAGTCTCTAATTCATTACCCCAAAATGCAGGTGGCATTACTGCAAGGTTAGTGAAATAGCATGGCAAGCCAGTCAGAAAGCACAGAAGCCAACCTTCAATTACATTATATCCAGATTCCTGTTATTATAAAGTTACTTGTATTTATAAACAAAGTAGAAGAGGGTCAAAGGAGAGCATGGTAAGCAATAACAAAGTTTCCCAAGTGGAACTGGATAATAAATAAGAGATTTTAAAAAGAATATTGCATTAATAAAATATTATTCTCTATGCTTCTAAACATTGAGGAAAACAGAAAGAGAAACACAGGGTAATATTGCAATATAGCTGTAAAACTGGTCTCCACGCTCTCTTGGACATAAAGAACAGTCCTAATGGAATCATCTGAGGGAAAAATAAAAGTGATAGGAAAAATATTTCCCTTTTCCATCTTTCATATACATATACATGTTTAAATATACATAATTTTCTCTTGTATTTCTAAACAGGAAGCTGATTTCAAATAAAAAATAAGGTCATAACCCTTAATAAATAAAAGAAATAACTCAATGCTGTAAATTATAACTCTAGGTTTATAATACAGAAAAGATAATGAACACACAAATATCGGGATGGTTATTTTCACTGTAAAGGCTCTCAAAGAGCCCAAAGGTTACAATGGCAGGGGGACACACGGGTGGTATTTAGTTTCTTCCTTTACCCAATTAATCTTTCCCACTCACTACCTGTTCCAAATAAAAGAAGAGAAAATCCTCAAAATAACCTCCACAATAAATACAAATAGAATGTCTTGTAACTTAGTTTTACAGGGAAGTTCCTGAAAGACTTCGAACACTTGGCTATCCAAATTGCCTGTCCTCACTCAACGGTGCTGCTAGTTACAGCACCTCAGCATCTGGGAAGTTCAAGTGCAGGGGAAAGGAAACAATTACAGCTTGTTGAGGTTAAAAAAATTGTTTTTCTCCTCAGGGACCAAAGGTGACAACCTAATAATGATAATAATTACCATTTATGCCTAATTGATCTTTATAACAGCCACCAGAATATACCCTTAATATTTTTGGAAAACCTGCCAATAATCCTGTGATGTTTACTACCTTTTATTTCTTTTATATAGCAGGAGAATTTGTATAGTAATAACTACAGGGAAGAGAGGAGAAACTCAAGATTTCATCAGATAATTCTAGGAATACGAGCAGATCTCAGGTAGTATGCAAAATATTACTAAGTACCAGTTCATAAGCAAAATAAAATAAAAAGCAACAAACAAAAAATGGTAAGGATAAAAAATGAAAGTCAAAAACCAAAAAGAATTTGGTTTATGACTATATGCAGATGTTCTACAAGCAAATTATAAAATTCAGACTTTAACAATATTTTAGGGGAAAATATCAACATTTGGAACCAAAAAACAAGAATAGACTGCAGAATGTATGTGGAATTTGCAGAGAAATAACATTTCTTATTTATCAATGTAGCAAGAATAAATGTAATTTCCACTCTCCATCAGGTAAACATTACTTTAACTTACACAAAGGTTTGTAGAAAAAATGAAAGTCTCAGACATTAAAGTCTGTGTCACATTCACAGTTAACTGCATATAAATTTCTTAGTCCATATAGCACTTCCTCATGTTTAGTAATATACTAGCAAAGTTCATGTCTCTATCTTCAGAGCCTCATGTTAATCATCTAATGCTTAATAACCACAAGGCCTATGGTATTAACAGGTGCTATGCAGTTTCCTAAATGTTACTTGGGCACAATCAACATTTTAAGGAAGGTACGAATCCTTAAGAGCAATAAAGCAAACATTAATCAAATATATACATTTTTGCTTCCAGAAATTTTATTTACTGTAACTACAGGGCTAAATTTCACCCATTTAACTACTGCTTCATGGATACACATATTCGACCAACATTAACTGAACATGTTCAGGTCCCTAGTTAAATCTCAAAAATATATGAATACAAAGTCTGTCCAGAAAAAAGACCAGCCATTGTTAATATAACAAGAAAGGTTTGAGTGACATCGACGTAACCTGGCAGCCAAGGAGAGTGGACTGCAATGCTGCATGTGCAAACAATGATGGCTTCATTGTACTAGCCAGTGGGGGCAATAAATGCCATTGAGTGAGTATGTGTTCTGTGTGGCCATTGCATTCAAAATGACTGAGTGAGTACAGCAATGAACCTGCATCAAATTTTGGGTTAAGCTTGAACATTCCTCTGCATAAACTATTCAGATAATTCAGAAGGCTACAGCTATGGGCAACTGGTGATTGACACTTTCATCACCACAATGAGCCCACTCATGCTTGACTTCCTATGCAGAAATTTTTGGCAAAACATCAAATCACCCAAGTGATCTGGCCCCCTTACATCCCAGATTTGGTGCCCTGTGATTCTGGCTTTTCCCAAAACCAAAATCACCTTTGATGGGAAAAGATTTCAAATCATTGATAAGATTCTGGAAAATAAGATGGGGGAGCTGATGGTGACTAGAAAAACTCTGTGAGGTCCCAAGGTGCCTACTTTGAAGGGGACTGAGGCACCCTATGTACAGAAATACTGCACACTGCCCTAAGTACAGTGTTTCTTGTATCTTCTCCAATAAATGTCTCAATTTTACATATTACATGTCTGGATACCTTCTGGACAGACCTCATATGTTCATGTAACAAATAAATACCTAAGTATGTCCAATATGCCATTCCCTCACTTCCTTGTAGATTATACACAGCTGAAAGGAGAATTATTTTACTGAAAAAAAGATTTTAAAGAAATCATCCATAACTAGCTCAGAACGATAACTAGAAAATATCTAACATTAGGACAGATGTGAGCTAACATGAGGAAATCTAACTGGAAATCAAAAATGTAATACAGGTAAGGCAGAAGAGGTTATATCTGAAATGTCAGTAAATTTTCTAAACTAGACCATAGACTCCATATAGTTATTCAAAATTAGCATCTAGTGATGCAATTCTGAGCAGCAAGAAGATACCCAACTTCGAAAAAGCAGCTATTAATTAAACTAAAAACCTTAAGGAATACTTTACTATGCGTGACATCTATTTCCTCTGTTAACTCCTCTGGAAGTTAACTTCCAGTTTTAAACCTCACCAAACATTTCCAATTACTAGCTGTTTGTTTTGAATTCACAATCCCTTATCATAAACTACAGGTTATATTAAAAATACAATGATATGTATCTTTACAACCTGCTTTTGAAATAGAAAATATTGCATTCAAATTGCAACCTTATAGGAAATCAAAGTAATATAAATTAACTAACACAAACATAACAATCAAAACCAGCAAATTCATAAACTTTTTGAAAGTAAGTAATCTGCACAAAAAAGTTTTATCCTATAATATGTAATACTTAAGTGTTTTTTGTGTGGTTTCTTGTAAACATTTGATACATATTATTTTTCATAACAATAAAAAATAGTACAAAATGTGACTTCAAATAATTAGTAAATGATAACTCACTATTTCTCCTAGGAATTTTTCTATTATTCTACACACCAGATGAGAATAAATATAGAATTAAAAATGCTTTCAGGTGAGATAGTTACATGCTAAAGTATTAATAATATTCTTTCTGGTGGTAGCAGTTAAATGGATAACATTTTAAGTATATTTTACCATCTTAAAATTAGTATCCCACTGATACTAATTAGTCCAAAAATATGACATGTTTAAATTTCTTTAGTAATTATACTTCAAATGAGTCCAATATTTGTCTTATCCCCTCAATTTGAATTAAATAACAATTAACCTTTCCTTTTCCCAAAGTTCAGTCAACAATCAATTCATTTTCCCTGAACTCTAGAGTGAACACAATTTTAATATTAAAAATTTCTACTGCCCGAAGTAACTGGATAGATGAGTGATAGAAAGAAAATAGATAAAATATTTTAAAAATCAATCTAAAATGAACAAAGGAAGAGGGAAGGCATTAAATATATGGATATTATTGGGAAGGACCGCAGTCTTTATGAGGAACAACCACTTATAACCAATAAAGCCAACTTCCTCTCGAATTACAATCCCGGGCTAAGTAAGGATCCAAGCTGATCAGGCAGGCAGAGTGATGACAGATACAGAGATCACACAGTCAAATGCTGACACCAGAAGCTTAGGAAAAGGTACTGCAAGTCCTGTATCTAAAACTAGAGTGAGTTCTGTAAGGAGCACAAAAGTTATTCACTACAGGATTTAAGAAATTAATTTTATTCACATAATTAGAATTGTTCAACTAAAAGAAGCTATTTCTTCATGCTGGATAGGAATGCATTCCCTTTGATCAAAAGCTACTTCAAAATGTCATCGATCAAAATATAATTACAAAGTTGATATGCAAAGTAACTTATAAATGTCATCTTAGACAAACATGTAATGTGTTCATTTTTCAATTACGTTAAATACCAGGAGATGATTTCACAAAGGAGTTATCTAAACCATTAGTTTATTTTAATGGAGATGTCAAGAATAAACATACATAATCATAAACTATTAGAGTAAAATGTAGCATTAGAGATTAACTGATGTAGCATCAACCAAGTGCACAAAGTTCCTCAACCTTTAAGCCACAGGTGGCAAACACAGGCCCGCGGGCCAAATCCGGCCCTCCACCTTCTTTTACCTGGCCCAGCACCTTGTTTCTACCTGGTGGCAGCACTGGGCTCTCGCTTAACTGTTAAGGAATAGTTACATTTACACAGTCCTAAAATTACATTTGGCCCTTTGAAGGCAACCTCAAACCTGATGTGGCCCCTGGTGAAAATGAGTTTGACACCCCTTTATAAAAGGCGTTAAGCCTTTTTTATATTATTTCTCAATCACAATCTTTAGTCACTTTGGGAGCTAGAGTTTCTAAGAGTATGATAATATCTTCTCATATTTATATCCAATTATATACTTAAAGGTTATCTACATATAAAACGTAGTTTTTTATGTAAACATACATATAAGCAAATGCAGTAAGCAAAAAATACAGAAAATAATTTTTTAATTAGAAACATTTATTGTTTTTATTTTTTAACTTGTAAAAGTAATACATGATATAGACATACAAAAGAAAAAAGTCAATTCCTCCACAATAACCACAACTGTTAACCCTTTGGGTACCTTTTTCTTTTTCAAGGCTAAGGTGCTTTATTTGGGTCTCTGATTAAAGATGTAGGTGCGAGTTGGGGGAACTGAGGACATGTTGGTCAAAGGGTACAAACTTAGAAGATGATTAGCCCTGGCTGGTGTGGTTCAGTGGATTGAGGCTGGCCTGTGAACCAAAGCATTGCCTGTTCAATCCCCTGTCAGGGCACATGCCTGGGCTGTGGGCCAGTCCCCAGCAAGGGGCATGCGAAAGGCAACCACAATTGATGTTTTTCTCCCTCCCTTCCCCTTTCTCTAAAAATAAATTTTAAAAATCTTTAAAAAAAGATGATTAAGTTATTTTCTACATTTGTGTAGAAAATGTAGTTATTTTGTAGAAAATAATCTTTGTGTGATGTGTGTTTTACATCACACAAAGAGAATTATGTAAACATCTTGTTCATCCTCCAATCATTCTTCTATACATATATTTAACAGACAACCCTCATACTACATAAATGTTTTTGTCTTAAAATTATATTAACATAATAAGATGAGTATCTTCTTACACATGATTTTTAAAGACTTTCTAGCATTGTATGATCAATTCTATTTAAACAACTCTATTTAAACATGTACTTGTGGTTAGAGGTTACTATTGCTTGCATTGTTTGGTTACTACGGATACAGCTGCAAGAAACTTCCACACGCACAGTCTCTTTAGGCATCACTGAGCATAACTGATATTTCTTTAACATAAAATGTTAGGAAAGAAACTACTGAACCAAAGTAAAGAAAAACATTTTAAACATAACAATGCTACATATTTCTTTTAAGCCTTAATTAATTAGAGAACACAGGGAATAGACATCTGGAAATAACACAACAGTATGCTTATTAAGAAAATTTGCCCTTTCAAAGTCTTTCTACTATTTAGAGTTTTCCATCATTTGGTTTTTTTAATCAATTTCATTAAGGTATAATTTACATATAACAAAAGGCATACTTTTATTTTATTATTTTTTATAGAAATGATCCTTTTGGGGCAGTTTTTTGGGGGTTTTTTTGTTTGTTTGTTAAAGATTTTATTTATTACTTTTAGAGAGGGAAGGAAGGGAGAAAGGGAAAGAGAGAGAAACATCAATGTGCGGTTGCTGGGGGTCATGGCCTGCAACCCAGGCATGTGCCCTGACTGGGTGGGAATCGAACCTGCGATGCTTTAAGGTTCGCAGCCCATGCTCAATCCACTGAACTACGCCAGCCAGGACAAAAAGGCATACTTTTAAAGTGTAGAGTTCAGTCATTTTCTTTTAAGGATATTAAAAAGAGAAAAACTTAATCTTTATATTAACCAGAATTTAGCATTTCTAATCTCTGCATTCCGTTCTGTAAATCTGAGTTTCCTTCTGGCATTCTTTTCTTCCAGGGCAAAGAAAATCCTTTAGTATTTGCTGCACTTCACCACAGCTTGCAACAAAACCTCTTAGCCCTAATATTTGCATTTCACCCTAATATTTGAAGAACATTTTTATTGCATATAAAATTCTGATTTAAAATTTTGTCACATTTTAAAGCTATCATTTCATTGTTCCTAGTTTTCACTATTTGTCACGTGAGATCAGCCTTGGTTTGTATTTCTCCCTTATGTAACTTCTTTACTCCCTTGCTGCTTTCAAGACTTTCTCAGAGGAGAGCAATGGAAACAGGCAGGACAACTGGAACTGAACAGCAATAAATACATAAATAAATAAATAAGATAGAATGCAAAACCAAAAAAGATTTTCTCATTTAAATGTTCAACAGTTTAAATATGATGCATCCAGGCCTGATTTTCTTTGTGTTTACAGTTAGATGCTTTTTCTTCTGATATGTAAGTTGATGTTTTACATCAAGCTTGGAAAATTTTAGGTCATCTTTTATTTAAGTATTTTTATGCCTTATTCTCATTCTTTTCTCCTTTGAGACTCTAGTTACATGTATGTTACCCTATTTTTAGGACTTTAAGATATGCTGGACCATAAGACGCACCAAGGTCTTAGAGGAGAAAAATAGAAAAAAAATTTTTGAAGCAAAAAATGTGGGAAACTATTTAATAACCTGTGACCCCACTCCATCACCAATCCCCCCCATAGTGAGCCAGGTAAGCTACATTCAGACTATAAGACACACCCCCATTTTCCTCCCAAATTTTTTTTGGGGGAAGTGTGTCTTACAGTCTGAAAAATACAGTACTTCATTTTCTCCTATTTTGTCTTTACAACAGATTATTTTTATTAATCTCATAAAATTCACTGATATTTTGGTTATATGCAATCTGTTGAGAAGTATACACTTTCACTGTAGTTACTGTACTTTTCAGTACTAGAATTTCTATTTCCTTTTTGTTTCCATTAGTCTGCCCTGATTCCCTATTTCTTCACTTATCGATGTCATTTTTTTCTATAAGTCCTTGATCATATTCAAATAGCCTCCTTAATATTTTTATTTGCTAAATCTAACACCTGAGCCATATCAGTGTAGGTTTCCATTTATTGCTTTTTGTCTTAATTGTTGGTCATATTTTCACATTTCTATACCATATCTAGAACATTTTAATTATATACAAAACAATATAGTTGAGAGATTATAAAGCAAACAGACAACTGTCTTCCTCTGAAGGGTATTAATGTTTGTTCTAGCACATAGTTTAATTTTCTTTTGTAAAAAGGGAAGGAAGCATTTAATTAAAAGTTATACAGGTTTAGAAAAACGATGGAATTCTATTGTTAAATCTCACTCCCTTTAGAAACGAAGAGGCACCCACAAACACACAGTCCCGCTGTCCTCACTGTGCCGGGTCAGGCCAGCCTCAGAGCACACCAGTCAGAAGTACTGCCCTCCCGAAGGAAAAGCAGGAGTCTGCAGCTCACTTCTCCAAGACCCTCCCAGCCATCCCAGTAATCCCTGCTTGGCTGGCCGGTCTCCGGCAGTTCCCAGCACCGTCAGCTGTGTCACCACGATCTCCAGTTCTTGAGCCAAAACCGCACGGCACCTCCTCAGGACCAGCCGGCAAGAGTCCTTTTACCCCTTTTCTTCTCGAATGGCCCCTCATTGCCCCCCATTGTCCCCATCCCACATGGCAGCCTGCCATTTTGTGTCACACAGTTTAAGTTTTTGATCACCTTGAATTCCAAAGCTTAATTTTATGTTTTGTTATGGTAGATCCATGGAAATCTCTAAATATTTCTCAAGGCTAACTTGCCACGATTCAAACTCTAAACTCTAGTTCTTCTAGGAATTTGGTATAAGCTTCATTTTTGGTTTTACAGGGTGGACACAGGATGCTGAATGTTAATATGGTGTTACCAGGGCGTTAAAGAGGTCTCTCCATCCAGGCGTGGCTGGAACTTCAATGTCTTCCATCACTGCTTGACCTCTAGACTCTCTGGTGCCCTCTCACTCCTACAGAATCTTTCCTCTCTGACAGGTCTCAGGTAGTCATGCATATGTAGCCCAGCCATCAACTAAGGACTCATAGTAAACTCCTTCACAAACTGGACCACTGCTCTCGGAAGGACTCCCTTAGCTGGTGCCCTTTCCAACAGATTCTAATTGCTTCCACAGCTTGCCTTTTCAGTTCTTGCAGGAGTGACATGATCTTCTTAATCTTCATCTTCATGAAGCTTAGATTGGAAAATTCCCAAGACACAAAGTCATAGTGATGATGGAGCTCAACTTATACATTTTCCTTGTCACTTGCCTTCTGTGACTTGTGCTGTTTTCCACTGTCCAATATTATATATATATACACACACACAAACATTACACCCACCCACCCACACACACACACACACACATATATATATATATGATACAATGGATATATATATATATATATATATATATATATATATATATATATAGTTTCAGAGTTTTTTTTTAATGGGGAGAAGACTAGTCTGACACCAGGTACTCTATCACAGCCAGAAATCTTCCTGTTATGGTTTACTTAGATTTTTCACTAAAATTAACCTGTATAGTATCACATCTATACTTCCTCTTGATCTTTTCATTAATATTTTAATTTTTAAAATAGTTACCACACCATTTATTCACTTTTAAATAGCTCTAGAATTTTGAGCTCTGATAAGGTTTTGAAATCACCAACCAACATTAAATTATAGTTTTATCAGTTTACTTTTACCTCTAATTTTAGAAGCTTGGTAACTTCGCCCTGGTTCCATAAGCTTTAATTTTGTTCCAGGTCCAGAATTCTAAAAAATAAAATCCAAAGATATAAAGTTATAATCTAAGTGACTCAAAAAAGTTTAAAAATGCAGTATTTTAAGTATTGTTTGAAAAATACAAAAAAAAGTAATCTCTCTTGAATTAAGTCCTATATATTTAAAAATTTTAAACATTAATGGCAAAAAATGGTAATTATTAACTTTAAACTAAATCCCACAGGCAAGTATTACCTAATATGGGTAAGCATTTGAATCATTTATTTCACAGCATTATTTCCTGAATCAAGAATACTCACTGCACATTTTGAATGATAATTATTCAGATCTTTACTTTGCGAGAGGTTTCTCCTCTGTTCAAATTGTTTCACAACTTAATTCATCCTTATGTCCATAAAAGATGAGGCAGTTATGAGTTAGGAAGTAAAATATGAAGAGACTACTGTCATTCCTAAAACTGTTAGCTCATTTTCCACCCACAGAAACTCCTTGTTTTATTAAACATATATTGTAATTAAGAACCCTTGTTAGTTTGGTGGCATACCATGCCCTATATTTTCTGAACAATAGACTTAAATTTAAAATTCAACCTGAAAAGTCATCTCATCCCTCACTGTATACGATTATGCCAACACAAACACCATGTGTTTAATTATGTGCAGATACACAAATTTTTCTTTCACTGAGCAGCAATATTTTTTTATTAATAGAAAATAGCAGATAATAAACTGGAATGTATAGACTGGTGCTCATGAAATGCCTGGGTTTAAAAAAGAGTGAAAAATTAGTATCTATTCTTGGATGCCAAATGCATTATAAAATTTTTAAATACACCTCTTACTTAAAGCAGTGTAAAATCGACATGGAAGTTAAAACAGAATACAGAGTTCCTGCACACCCTGCACCCCGTTCCCCTCGCTCACATCACGCATCACTGTGCACTTTTGTCACCAGTAATGAAATGATATTGGGACATTATTAACAGAAGTCCATATTTTATTCTAATTTCATTAATGCTTTCCAATATCCTTTTTTCTGTTCCAGGATCCCACGAATACTGGCCAGGTAATATTTCAAAGGAGGTCCATAAATTTGGGTTTGCCTGATGTTTTCTCAAGGTTCGACTGTAGTTAGGGTTTGGGGGAGGAACGCCCCAGAGGAGAGGTGCCAGTATCATTCGCACATCACATCAAGGGCCCGTGCTATTGACAGGACTAAACACTGATGATACTAACTTTGACCACCTTCCTGCAGCACTATTTGCCAGGTTTCCCCATGGTATAGTTACTTTTTTCCCCATTTCCACCTCACTTTGGAAGCAAGTCAGTAAGTGTAGCCACATTTAACAGTTTAAGGATTAAGCTCCACCTCCTAGAGGGAATGATTATCTACAGATGTCACTGGAATCCTCTGAGGAGATTCTTTTCATCTCCCTTTTATTCTTTCATCTCCCATTTATTCAGATCATTATGAACACTTATTTTATACCATGAGTTATAATTCAATACTATATTATTTATTTTCTTGCTCAAATTGTTCCAAATTTGACCGTGGCAACTCTTAAAGGCTGATCCCTATCTGACTCCATTTGTTTACATTTGATGGCTATCAGCTTTTAGAGCTCACATTCCCACTTCCCTTTGTGCCCCACTTCTGGGCAAGCTGATAAGGTCTGGGTGCACCCTCCTTCAGCACAGGTAGAAGATTTAAACCTCACAAGCCTCTCTTTGCACTGGAGAACTCTCACCCTGGCCTCAGATCCTGACCGCAATAAAACCCCCAAGCCAGTCTCCTTCCCTTGGTCTCTCAGCCATTTCAAACCTGCATCATAGGCATGTGCTGTTTTCCCCGAGAACCCAAATATCTAAGTAAAAACTGTACTCTTACCCTCTTAGTGTGTCTATGGCCTCATCAGGCTCAACACCCAAAACAAATTTGGTTGGTAGTCCATCTAACTCTGTAGTTGCCCAAAACAAACCCTTCACATACCCCAATTTTTTGTTTTTCTTTTTTCTCTTTTCCTCCCAATCCCCTCTCCTTCTTTCTTCTTTTTCTTACAAGTCGAACATTTCCCAACTTCCTATCATAACTAGATGTTCTAAATGTTCCAGACTCACCTTGTGTTTTCCTGCCCAGCCTACAATCAGCCGCTCCTGCAAATAGCCCTATTTCATTTTATTAAAGACTGTCATTAGAAACCAATACCTGATCATAGGATTTACTCATTGCTGTTGGAGTGTAATTACTTCTACATCTTCTCAGAAGACACACCTAAGAATATATATTTATATATATTTTAGAATATCTCCTGAATTAGAGCCCCGTGGCCCCAAAATGATAAAATACAATTTATTAAACATACATGTTAACAAATAAAAAATGTTTATTTTGAATATGGGGCTCTAAATCAGAATGTTGGTCATTTGTCAAACTTAAATAAATTACAGATTTTTCTAAAAGATTTAAATACATTTCAAAGTTGCTACACTGTTTATTATCTATCAAAATAATCTGAAAACAGATTTTTGTCATCTCACAGTTTATTTTCAGTCTTTTATATACAAACTGAATAGCATTTAAAATTTTAAAATTCTAATCTTTCTTCATGCAAGATATTTGAGAGGTCTACATGTTTACAGAAAGGCATAATAAAGTCGATGTTCATTAAAATAAGGCTTTTAAGGAAGCAACGCTGAGGAAGCCAGACAGAGAACACAATATACTTTGCATTGTTGTAGTTCATATCATAAAAGTTATGTTAAAAGTGAGTGAATTCTCAGAGCATAACTACATCAAAACAGAGACATAATAAAAAATAAACATAAAAATTGGTATCTTTCATTTTGGATCATACATAAAGTATTTTTCAAATACTTTAATATATTTTCACTTGCATTTCAATACCTTTCCACAGTAAATTTATTCCACAGGTTTATGACGCACTAATAGATTCAAGTTAAGAGGCTAATCCATGGCTGCATACCCACGGTATACCTGATAAAAATGACTCAACAGAAAAAAAAATAGGACTGGGTTTGTTCAGCTTATTAAATGGTAGTCTCAGCGTGTTCTCCAAAGACAGACCTGATATGCCTGAGGCTATATTCTCTGTCCTAGTGTGGAGAATATGCTAATTGATCCTAGGCTTAGACTGGTATACGGAATATCTAACAGTCACTTTGGCCACTCAGAACCCTGGATTTAGTGACTTGTGAGTCTTCCATCTTTCCTTGTGTATGCTACAATCCTTTCTCGTAACTAGGATTCTAAGAATATTCCATAGGCTCCATCAATAACATGTACCCATTACAGAAAGTCAACAAAAAATCTGGTGATGTGAGGAACTATGCTCAATACGGAATTCACCCTGAGAATGGCAGTGGCTACATCTACTCTCCACCAACAGCCATAAAACGGATCTAGAAGAGCACCCAAGTGCCTAGTCTTAGCATTAGTTCACTAGTCCATAGTGAAACCTATGGTGGCAGAAATGGCATCTCCACTCAAATCTGACACTCTAGAATTATAGTGAATCTAGCATCTTGAATAGCAGAATCGATAGAAGATATTTATAAATCCTAACAATACCTTTTTAGATAATAAACTCTTAAATTTTCCTCACTAGGATTATCCAAATGGATTTTTTAGGATAAAAATGGAAGATATTAATAATGGCCCTGTGATAACAGGTATAAATTACAACGGTCTAGGACAAGTGAGGATGTTGAGTGACAACCAATGATGTAGAAGAGGCCAGGAAGATAACCAATCCAACAGAACAAAGAAATACACAGGGTTCTGTCCCTGAGAGGGAGAAAGAGCATGAGGTCACATGTGAGTGATGTGATTCACCTTTGAAGCTAAAAATCCAAATGGGGCTAGCTGGAAGCAAAGAGCACATAAAGCCAGATAGTTCAGGAAGACAATGCTTGCTCTTAGCTTTTTATGGAATCACATAGAAAAACTGATATCCCCTTAAAGAAACCTTTGTATTTTGGACTGTGTTGTGTAAACATAATATTCTTCAGGTGGAATATGAAAATTGACTAAAGGAGGTGTATCTATGTAGATACATGTTAGGTGGTTTCTAAATTGCCCATGATTGTATTTGCAGTGTAGGGAAATCAGAAGCCATACAATGTCTCAACAGCGTACATGAAATCTGAAGCACTGAACCAGGACAAGAATGAGAGTCAGGACAATGAGGCCACAGATGTTAAGGATCTCACAGCAGAGAGGTCTTGGATTTCACAAGGCATGTTAAGTTCAGTCAAAAGAATTACTGAGAACCATGTACCTTAACACTAGGAATATGGCCAAACCAGTCACACATCACTAGAAAGAAAGTGAAGGCTGAAAGGAAGGCATGTAGACTTCAGGTCATATGGATACATAAGTGCCCCCTGTATTAGGATTCATCTTAGAAAGAATGTGGAGAAGAGGATGCCACCTGAAGACAGAAAATAAACACCGATAGCTAAATGGTCAGGTATTGTAGCATGCCGTGTTACAGTCGGAGACTGCTGTAACCCAGAAAGATCTGAACAGTCTTTAATAACAGGCTGTGTTTTCTTTTGCCTTCAGCAGAGGTAGTGGTTCAAGGACAAAATAAGTTGCAGATAATAAAAGCAAAATTCTTTGAACATCTGAATGGCAGTGTGTAAAATTCAACCCTGCCTCATATAAACAGAGATGTTAATTTTTTAAACGTTTTCATTTTAGATAAATGTCAACTATAAGGCAAGTTATCTGTCTGTTTAATAGGTGAGAAAACAGACTTATGGGTAAAACGACCTGAAGGGTCACATAGCTACCTTCCAAGTCCTTAGCCCCTTTAACTAGACCAGTGAGGAGCAATTTGAAACAAAAAGACTGTATGTGCCCTAAATGTGTTCTCAGTATGGCCTTTGATCTAGCCACAGAAGTTCCCCTCGTGTTAGAGACAGGAGGACTGAGTGGCAGACCCAGGGCTGGACAGGTTGCAGATGCGGAAATCAACCATCCGGAGGCGGGGGGCAGGCACTGGCCAGCATGGATGCCTGGGAGGCCCTGATATTCTTGAATTGAGAAACTCAGTCCAAGGGGTCTGTCGGAGATGTCAAAGTATACATGGTCATTGGGAATGCATGGCCAGGTCACTGATGGAATCCTTCTTGGAGAAAGACAACAGGAAAATAAACATGAGACCAGGAGGAGAAGGAGAGTAGGATGTGCGGCAAAAGTTTCAGCTGGCCACATGGCAAGAAGCAGGAACAAACTGAATCTAGTGTGCAGGAAGCCAAGATGTAGAGTCATGGCTCTTATTGGCAGGCTGGGGAGCAGGTTAGATAAAAAGGAGATAAGAGATGAATCGCTGAAGGTGTGACCTAAAATGCCATAAAAATGTAAATTACTATTAAATTCATTTTATGCAATATTACTAATAATGGAATTCAAACATTCAAGAGTACAAAATTAAAATTCAAGCACAAAGACTCACAAGTGATGTTTTCCATTTTAGTTAGCTAAAGCTTACATTCGATAAAAGACCAAATACACTTGCATAAAGCATGTCTTAATAAAATAAAATGGATAATATATTCAAAAGCACATCTTAGTAAAATAAAATGTATAAAATATTCAAAATTGATAAAATTATTTTTCTAAATGTTTCTAAATACATCTTTTTTACAACATGAAAAGTGGTGAAAACTTTTTAAATTTATCTCAGAAACAAAACCAGCATTTCTAATTTTCTTATAAAAAATAAAAGGTTAAAAATAATTTTGAGTATCTGATTTTTTACCTTCTTGGCTGCTTTGTCTCTTTCCAAGGAGGTCATCATTTTCTGCTTCAGTAAAGTTTGATGCTTCTCAAGTAACACCCTTATAGTTGGTTCATAAGATGCATAATGTAACTTCAACCTATGAAAAATAAAGGCCATCTTAAAGGGTAATTCAGTTAAATCAGTGATTTCCATTTAACATCTGAACATTTTATTTTTCTTTTGGCTTTTTTTGCATCAGAATAAAAAATGAATAACCATATAAAGGTCAACACAACAGAACCAAGAAGTGCAAGGAGTATTATATGGTACACAACTTCCCTGCAACCTTACGTGAGAGTTAAAAAGTCATATTTCTCTGTATTTAAATATGCACTCAAAAGATCACTGAAAGAAGAAAAAATTGAATCCTTTAGTCAATTTGGAAAAAATTTTTAAATAGACAAGGATTACAAACAAAAGATGATTAAACACAAAGTGTCATTCACATCAAAATAAACTAAAGGATGTTCTTGAAAGCAAGTTTGATTAATCTCATATTAAGAAGATAAGGTATAAAAATATTTTGATATCTCATAGAAGAAATATGTGACTACATATATTTCTTATGATATAAACACCTTTAAGAATCTGTTTTATTTCAAAATGTTTTTAATAGTTCTTTACTTTTTTATTGAAGTGTAATTTACATGGAATAAAATATATAGATCTTAAATGTCACAATTTAGAATTTTCATAAATGTGCATGCCCAGAGCCCTGGCTGGTGTAGCTCAGTGGGTTGAGTGTGGGCCGGTGAAGCAAAGGGTCACTGGTTCCATTCCCAGTCAGGGAACATGCCAGGGTTGTACAGCAGGCCCCCAACGGGGACATACGAGAGGCAACCACACATTGATGTTTCTCTCCCTCTTGTTTTCCTTCCCTTCTCCACTCTCTAAAAATAAATAAATAAAAGCTTTTTAAAAATATGCATGCCCAGATAGTCCACATTGTTACTAAAATATAGAGCATTTCTAGTCTCTCAGAAGACTGTTGAATTTCATATATTTGGAATCATAGAATATGTTCTCTTTTGACACTGACTTCTTTCATTCAGTATAATGTTTTTCAGATTCTTCCATATTGTTGTATATATCATTAATTCATTCATTTTTATTCTGAGTAGTATTTCCTTGTACATATAATCCAAAATATGTTAACGCAATATTCTGCTGATGAAGAACAGATTGTTTTGAGTTTGGGGCTATTATGAATAAAGTTGATATGAACATTCTTATACCAGTCACATAAGATATGTTTTGGTTATAGATCTTCATTTCTCTTAGAAAAAAATACATAGATGAATTCCTGGATTGCAATTTATAGTACAACTTGCCAACATTTTGTAATGGTTAGTCTACTGAAAGTTTCTCAATTCCATTATCAATTTTTTCAGTTTTATTATACTGTAAAACCAATATATAAGTTAGTTGATTTTCTTCTTTTGCTTGTCCCTTTGTTAGTTTATTTGTTACAGATCTTATTTTTATTATTTCATTGCTTTCTCTTTCTTTCTATTTAATTTGTTTTCTGGGGTTTGGGTGTTTTTTTTTTTTTTGAGCTTCTAAGGTACAAGATTAGATTGCTGGTTTAAAATTTTCTTCTTTTCTAATATAAGCATTTAAAGTTATCGATTTCACTTTAAGTACTGCTTTGGCTTCATTTGACAAATTTTAAAATGCTGCATTTTTAATCAGTCAATTCAAAATATTTTCTTCTGTCCTTCTTTTGACTCACAGGTTACTCAGAAATGTAACTTAGAAATTTCCAGGTAATTGGAAATTTTCCAAAGAGCTTTGTGTCATCAAATTTTAATTTAATTTTGCTTAATCAGAGAACATATTTTACAAACATGAATTCTTTTAAATTAGTAGACTTACTTTATGGCTCAGCATCAGACCTATTTTGGTGAACATTCCATGTACACTTACAAAATCCAAAGTAGAATTCAAGAAAGGTCAATTATGCTCAATTAATATGTCTTGTTCTATAGGCTTAGAGAATTTTTTGCCTATTTTTCTACTAATTGCTAAAAATGGAGTGTTAAAATCTCCAGTTGCAAATGTGGAACTATTTATTTTTTTCTATTTTATCAGGATTTGCTCCATATACTTTGGAACTCTTATACCTCTATTAGATTCATGCATTTGTCTTCCTGATGAACTGACTCTTTTCTAATTATTTATATGAAAATACCTCTTTTTCTCGGGTTCTTGGGATGCCCCTGAGGTTATTAGTTCTGTAGCCCCTCTCCTCAGGCCCTGTGGCCTCCTCCCCTGGAAAATGCTGCTTTAGAGATCTTCACCACAAGACGCAAGACCTCCTCCTGGAGTTACTGCTACTTCCTCTTCTCCTGACTGCCTAGCTAATGGTCTGACAAGGGAAGAAAGAGACTATATATCCAAACTGCTCCGACAAGTAATCAGCACACACTAACAGGAACCAGCAGAGTACCCCAAAGAGTGAACTTTGAGGTACTTGAGAAAAAGGGCTATATACTAAGACTGGATAAACAATAATTAATTGCCCTTGAACTGCTTCCTTAAAACACTGAATTTTACATGTTTTGGAGCAAGAACTCTAGTGAATGAGGTGAACTCACTCCTGGAGTGCCTCTTAGAAACCTAGGAAAAGGGCCAGTCAGCCCTGGGCAAGGTGGAGATGGCCGAGCTGCCTTGGCAGACAGGAGAGTACAGGACAGCAAGAACCTAAACTCACTCATCTTCGTATGTTAGATGCACAGTATAGACTTTGGCACATGGCATATGCTCAATAAATACTGAATAAAATTACCTGAAACCTTCTGCCATAACCAAGTTCCTAAAACACTAATTAAATAATTCTTTAATAAATGTGGGAGTTGGGGGGGACAAGGTAGGGAAGAACAATGGGGAAAAAGGCAGGACAACTGGGACAGAACAATAAATAAATTAAATAAATAAATAAATAAGCAAGCAAGCAAGCAAACAAATACGTCAACGAATATTAGCAGCTTACCCTTTAAGGTCATTAATTAATTTGTTTTTTTCTTGGACTATTCGCTTGTGATGCATTCGATGAAAATCTCGTTCTTTCTGAGTTTTAAGCAGATCTTCTCTAGCCTTGCTGAAAAATAACAGTGATAACTTTAAACATTACTGCTAATCCCTTTCTAAAAAATTGTTTAATCATCAGTTAAAATCCAGTATTGAGCAATTCAAAAGAAAATCAAAAAACAAAGATTCCATTATAATTCTCAGTGAAGGGTCCCAAACACCCTAATGTATATTAGGATAGGGGGGTGGTGAGTGAGCCAAAACCTACCTGTAATTTCAAAAATAGCATTCATTCACATTTTATTTAAGTAAAGGAAAATTAAAGATATGCTGCCAAAATAACTTATAATCCATCCACTTACAAAAAGAATTTGTTTACAAAATTGAAATACATATAAAATAGGATAATTCAAAGACAATTACAAGGAAAAGAGTTTACAAAATTTAATTCTGAACTTGCTTGAATACATAATTAAAAGAGAATGCACTGGGTTGTTTAGTTCTAATAATATAAGTTCTGAAAAACCAAGCTTTTATTCTGGTAATACAAATGAGAAATACACACCACCAGCAGATCATATTACTAAAATAGTTGGTAATTTGATAAGAAAGGTCTTCAAATTCAGTATTGAAATACTGAAGCATTTTTCAAGTAGATATATCTTCTACGAACTCCTGGTGTAAAGCAAGAATATTAATTTTAAGCCCAGACTGTATGTGAAAAATTAATGGAAATATTTCACTCATCCCATAGTATGTCAGTTTCAATATAAAAATGTAAAATGTGATTTAAAATGAAAAAGTAGTTATCCAACAGCCTTAGTTAAATGACAAAGTACTGAAACCCTCACATTCTGCAAACAGAGAGACTGAAGCAGAGTGCTGACATCTCTCACAAGATGATCATAATGGAGTGAATCTGCCTCTTCATATCCCAGTATTTCAAAATGCAGATTCACATAAAACAAATGCATGCAAAAAGATTTCTGCTCTAGGAGCTATGTCGGAGTAATCACGGAGGAGCAGTGACTGGCATGCAGCCAAACAGTGGGATGAGGTTAAGTGTTCAGGCTCCTGATAGAGCATATTATGATCAGTGAGAATTCTTGCTGCAAGATCAAGTCACATGGGGCATATGGTGACAGGGGCCTGTCTATTTTTCCAAGTTTCCTTCTTTTTTCCCCCATCCCTTCCCATTTTAGTGAGGATGACTGGTATTGCTCTTTCTTTTACCACCACTATTGTAGTGTTTATTACATGTAAATAAACAACATGTCACAATACTCATGGTCTACTCCCACCATCTAATCCTCCACTTCATTTCCATGCTAACATATTGAAGGTGCAGGAAAATACTCATTAAAATATTGTCTGGAAAAATCATCTGATGAATGTGCCAATTATCAGATGAACAAATAATTCATTCTTTCCATTTTTAACCCTCTTTGTGTGTGAATGAAGAGGGACTAATAAAGACCCCCTCTGCCACCACCATGTGGCTAGTGAGTAGTACATGAAGAGAAGGGGAGAATTTAAGTAGAGTGATTGGAAAAAGCAAATGTCTGAGTTGACATTTAGTTGTGAAAACACAAGAAAACCTGAATTCTCATTCATTTAGAAGAAAGCACGTAAATTGGTTTATATGCTGTCTGGCACATAGAAAATATTCAGTAAATGTTAATGCAATCATCATCCCATTACTACTGCTATTTAATATAGTAGAAAAGATATATTTAAGTTCTATAACAACTAAATTTATCTACCTAAAATAGGGGGCATGCCAATAGATAGATATCCTGTAATGGACCAAAAATATCAAAATTCATAATCATCAGTAAAACTATATTTATAAATATAGTTATAAAAACTTTTATGAACATCTATTTTATATCTAATAAGACTGCTTAAACAACTTGATGAATTATATAAATAAACTTATGTTTTATTTATCTTATCTGAAATGTAAAGCCAAAATCGGTTTACAAATACAGGGGTGGGCAAAACTAGGTTTACAGTTGCTCATATGGCAAATAATAAAATAATTAATAAATAATAGCACAGGAATGAGTTTCATGTACTCACAACTGCATAGCTACTTTTGCCTCACCTCGCATGTAGAAAAACAATGCTGGAAAGTTTTTAAGCAGAACCACAAATGTGCAGCATTGCATCAACTCACTTTTTAAATACACATTTAAAGGCCCATTTGTACTCATCCAAGAAAAGAAAGCATAGGAATTGATTGAAGTATTAGACCTTAAAGTTTTTCTGACCATTAAATTGGTTTTCTGGGACTTGCTTTCTGTTTGCACAAATGAAGTCTGCTCGGTAGAACAATTTAAATTCATTTCATGGTGATGCTTTTCCTATTATGACCTTCCAGCTGCCCATCTGCTTAATAAAAGGAACATAAAAGAAGTACTAAAAAATAAAGTTTAAAATATTCATAAGCAATTAATATTTTAAGCTATATAGTGTTTTCTCATCATATTGGCAAAGCATGTTGTGTTAAAAATAAACTTTTATTAAGACAGAAACCAGAGAGATTCTATTTCAAGTACAATGAAGTGAGAGTTATGCCACGAAACACTGTATTTAGATTTATCTATCATAAAGAACACACTTTTACATGCTTCTTCCCTTAAGGAAATGGGAAGATCACATCACTATATAACATCCCCATTTCAGGAAACCAGCATATCAAAATCTACAATTAAAGTATAAAATATTAATATGCTCATATTATTACCATACTATAAAAACATTCTCCCCAAAACTCCATGTTTCCACATGACTATAATTTAAATGTGCTCTAAAAAATTATTTTTAAGTGGATGCCCAGCAAAGTGATTTTATTAGCTGAATAGTTCTATCTAAGTATATTAGAGTAACCATTTAATAATAGGTTTATTGAGTTATTTTGTTAAAATAATTTGGCAAAAGGGAGCATATAAACATATTCTGGTTTACCTACACTAGTCAAAGCAAACCTTCATTTTTTCACATGTGCAAACTTGAATCAATGTATTTTCTGATAACAATACTACATGATAACCAATTATTTTATTGTCTTCGATTGGTTATAAATAAATTAGTTTAACCCAGTAAAATTAATATTGGAATAAGTTTTAAATAGACAAAATGGAATTCAACCAGACTATAAGAAAACTTTCATTATATTCTTAACCAAAAAAGAAAGGGCTATACCCATGTCCAGAAAAAAATACTGTCTTAATTTAACAAGCAATTACCTAAACACTAGAGCATAAAATTTTATGGGCCTCATTATTATCTTTATTTCCACAGTGTTTGTTTCTGAAAGTCATTTCATTAAATGGGTCTTTGGAGAAGCTGGGTACTCTTTGACCTTTTATAGAAGGGAATTTTGTAAGTGCAAGTAGGACCCCATAGTAAAGCACTTGATTTTTCCTCAGAATTAATTGCAGTTTAATTATAATTTCTTTATACTTTCTGGGAGAAGGTAAAAGAAAGTATTTCAGTATTTTAATGGTACATTTTAATATTTTAATTAATAATCCCAATCAGTATCATTTTTCTGCCTAATCTTCTGGCTTCTCAATAAAACTTTTTCTGGTCTGCATTGTATTTCCTTAACATAGTCTAGCAAAGGAAGACAGTACTATAAATGGGGCAAGACTTAACTCTATAAAAAGTTGCTCCAATTTCCACCATGAAGGGGAAATAAATGATTCCTATTCCAAAATAATTCCATGAAAGGGGCCAAAATCATCAATTAACTACTCTAAAAATCATTAAGAGCTTAACTGCTTAACTAAAGAACCAAAATGCCAAAAGCACAGATTCATTTACACCCCCACCTGTTTGCCAGGAACAGCTGTAGACAGGTCCAGGGTTGTGCTGAGCACAAGACACAGTCCCTATTACATGGAGCTCACAATGTAAAAATGAAATATATACACTGGATAATCAGATGTAAAAGGCATAAATTTCAAGCTCCTTTATAAAATACAGCATTAAAGATAAGGAGCTCCTACCCTCTCGACAGCTTGGACAGATCTGGAGAGCATTATGCTAAGTGAAATAAGCCAGGTGGTAAAGACAAATACCATATGATCTCACCTATAAGTGGAACCTAATCAACAAAACAAATAAGCAAGCAAAAAATATAACCAGAGACATTGAAAATAAAGAACAGACAGACAGTAACCAGAGCGAAGGGTGGAGGGGTTATTGGGGGACTGGGGGAAAGGTTGTGAAGTAACCTTGGACACATGGTTATGAAGGACACATGTCCTTCATAAAGGACACATGGACAAAGTCAAAAGGAGGTAGGATAGAGGGTGGGAGGTGGGGATGGCTGGGGTGGGGAGAAGTGGTGCAGGGGAAATGGAGACAACTGTACTTGAACAACAATTTTTTAAATGTCAATAAAAAATACAAAAAAAAAAGATACCCATGGTAAAAACTGGAAGCTTGAGATTGACAGAAGAAACACTGGGATGGGCAGGAATCAAATGTATACACAGGCCAAGTGAAAACAAGCAGAGCTCACTGGGAAAGGATGGGGGGCTCACACAAAGTCAGATGCTCATATGCAGACATGCCACACCACATATCAGTATTACTGGGTATTAAGAGACCTTCTGCTAAGTACCAGATCCGAAACCAAAGTAACCTGGGCCTCATCCATCTGTGACAGAGCAAGTGAAATTAAGATGTTCAAAAGGTGTAAGTGAAATCCCAGAGTGAAATTTGGGGAAAATATAAAGCACATATGCAGCATTTTCAAGTCCTTATTTATGGACAACCTTAAGGTCCATAGGAAAATCTGATAAGTATTTTTGCATAGGCTTCTCATGAGACTCCAGAAACTGTCTCTTTGGCTTTCGACTTGCAAGTCAGAGTGGAAAAAAGAGAGCAGATATGGAACCAGTGTGCTCCTTTTAGAGAACTAGAAGGCTGTGGGTGGGGTGGGGTAGGTAAACAAATAAAAGGAAGGAATAAAGAACAATGAAGAGAGGTAACATAAAAGAATTCTACCTCAGATTTCCATTTGGAGTTGGGAGGAATATTCTAGTAAAGAGCTGG